TCCCTCTCTCCCTCCCTCCCTATCTCTCTCTCTCTCTGGAAACTCACATTGTCGAGTGATATGCAACCCCCAGTAGTGTCACAGAGGAACTCGTCACTGGCGCAGGAAGGCGGTGTTACTCCAACCGTTGAGGAAGTCGTGCGGACTGTGGTAGATGGTGCGGGAGTTGTGTTACCACAATTCTCTTCATCACTTCCGTCTGGACAGTCGTTGTTCCTATTGCAAACCAGCCAGCTGCAGGAAGATGATGTGTTCAGACTCAGAAAAAAATTGTCTTCAACTTATAAGACAATGTATTCAAAGGCAGAGGTCAAGAGAGAGAGAGGGAAAAAAGTACATTTCCACTTTGGGATAGATTCACAGGCCAAAAAAGACACCATTATACATTGCAGTTGGAAAGGGAAAAAGAAAAGAAAAACATCACAACCTTAACGATACACATTATCAAAACATCAATTCATTCATATCTCAAAATAATACTCATGTTGCCAAATATGAAAATAAAAAGTCAAAAATCAGACTCACCTGTCAATACACAGGCCACTTTTGCACTTAAAACTGCGGTCAACGGGACAGGGTATTGCTGTGCAGTTTTTCTCATCCCCTCCATCATGGCACCCATCCACAACCCCATTGCAGACCTGAATTCATAGGATTGCAGTTCAAAAAATATTAGTAATGGATTTGTTTATGATGTCTGCTGATTACATGATTTCCATTTTTTTTAAACACTCTTTGAACTGTTATGTGAAGTATTGTTATTCTTCATCATCTTCATGAATGTTAAAAACTCCTGGCTAATCTCATCCTTAAACTTTAGTTATATACACCATATCTAATAATGAGCAGATACAGACCAAACAAAACAATGCTATACCAATCTTAATATACAAATTACAGTTCCTGCTTAAAAAGAAAATATGGAAGGCACCCTTCTGAACCATTTTCATCAAAGTTCATTATCATTTCCATGTAGAAAGTGAGGTCCCTCTTCGACACCCCAAAGCAAATTCCAGAGAAGTCTGATGTACCTTATCCATTGAAATACAGACGCCATCCAAGCACTTGAAAGGTCGACTAGCCGGGCAGTTCTTCTTGCCGCAGAGAAGCTCATCGGAAGCATCTAGGCAGTTGTAGGACCCGTCGCATAGCATCTCCTCCTGGATGCATATCCCATAGTCACATTTGAAGGGCTTGCTTTCAGGACATACGTGGACCTTGTCACAGTACTGCAAGGCCTCATCTTCACCCTCCTCGCAATCCTTGAAGGTTCCATCGCAGACGCTCTGTTTCTGGATGCACTTGCCACTGCGACACCTTCAAAAGGAGGATAGATTTGGGTCTGAGTCAATTAGTCCTATATCCAATAATATATATCAATTAGTATGGTAAGCACTCTGATAATAATAAACCATAATTCCAAAAATAATAATTACATTGATATACAACAATTTTAGAAGAAAGTGAATTAGAGAGAGAGAGAGAGAGAGAGAGAGAG